CAAAACTTTCCAAGTCAGTCGCACGTCGAAAACATTTTGCATTACAAGTCTCCTTTGATTATTGAACAAATCGAATTTTGGGAAGTTTTGACGTGTACTTCATAAACCCTGCGAAAAAGTGCGTAGGTACGCCTATAGATTTACTTACCTACTTACTCATACAATAGGTTACTACATAAGTACCTATTTGGCTACTCGTTTACGTAATGAAACTAGTATATCGCTTTTTAATTTCTATAGGTACAGATTCCTAGAGTAAATGCACACTACACTGACCCTTAGATAAGTACCTATACTGGGATGGGGCCCAACAGGGCTGATGCCGATTCGGAGTCGCGGAGAACCTAACGGGTTACCGGGGCTCCGGCTCGACGTGCAGGAGAAGGAACGGGGTGGTTTTTAGTCAGTATGAGTCTGACACTAGGCCGGAGCAGTAATTAGATGATCTTCCCCCCTTAAAAAAATGTTGAGTACCTACGTCGCTATTGATTGTAAATTAGGTACTTTTATTTCTTTGAACTAGCTAGCTTGGTAAAGGGGATGGGATATTGTTCAGCAGTAAACTTCGTCTTTGTATAAACCACCTAAAATTACGAAATAATTCGTTATGATACTTAAAGTCTGACTTCTAATTTATAGGTATCGGAAAATAATTTTGTATCTGTCTATGCATTGCATTTGCATCGGTGTGATGCAGTTACCAATATCAAAAAGGTTAGCCTCTTGTCTGTTGAAAGTGTCGGCCATTATGGTTTATACTGGGAGCCGGTATTTCAACAGATAAGAGGTTAGTTTAAAACAAAGATTATTAGTAAAAAGCTTCGATAAAAAGAAAACAACTTAATATCATTTGTATTTTTTATTCTCATCATACAATGAAATTAAATATGAAGTATTTACAAAATTATAGAAATAGAAATCTAAAAAATCATCACATGAAGAGTTTCCTACTCGTTCGTACTTATACACTATAAATTAAACTAGATAGTAAGTTTACAACGGAAGAATCATTTTATATTGTAATGTATCTTATATTAGTTTAACTATTGTAAATGTAAAATTACATTATTGCCATCGCGACGGTCAAACTGTCCCAAATTAATTGTTCAATTACGTATTTAGTCATAAAAATAATTAAATTTAAACAATTCTAATACAAACAATGATAGTATTTTGGGAATATTTTAGGCCTTGTAAACCAAGGGTATTGATACTTCTTTTTATTTAATAAATTGCAACAATAAACGGCACTGCCTATAAATATAAATAAATTGAGATTCGATATGCATTAAATATTAAATAATATTAATTGTTTCAAACACTTTCAACATACATTGTTCCCCAAAGTTAGGAAATATAGGACCAATCACCAAAAATAATTCGATACCGCGAGCATAATTAAAATTAGTAATATTTTGAACCACACAAACATTATTACAGTAGATACAACATTGATCGGTTTTCCCTCTACACTAAAAGGTAAGTATCATGCTTCCATTTACATATACAAATCTCATATGGGTACACAATACACACACACTTAAATCACCAGGTCATCATAAAACTACAAAGAAATTCTGTCAGCCACTCACAGCCGTACTTGAAACAATAATTTTTAATCATTATTTAACCCAATCCCTCTCAATACGGTAGTTGACAAGTACCTAGTCAAATTCAATACTTTTATCGAAACGTCGAAAACGATACTGTTCTATGAATTTTGTACGCAATACCATCTTATGATGTCATCATATTTTCGCGTTAAAAAGCACATTTATATCTGAAAAAATGCTAGAATGAATCGAATATTAAGTATATCGGGAAATTAATGAACTATTTTTCAATATGTAATTGGACTGAAAAAACAAAATAATTTATTTTTGACCCATTACTAAGGAAATCTTTAAATAATCATTAAATGTCTTTGAGTACGGCCGACAAAATCACACTCGCGGTACAGAATTTATCAACTGTCAAAAAATCTATTACCACAAATAATCTTCAATCCAAAATTAATATCCACATTTCCTATACAATAACAGAGAGATAAGTACAAAAAGTTTACTACGCTAAAAAGGAATCAAGTTTTAGACCGATTCGGAACTTTGAGCATCTCGTAACGAACTAATTTATTATGCTTAGTTTTACCTCTAGACAAGTTTCCTAAGACCTAGAATAAAAACGAAAGGTATATACCAAGTGAGCAGTGGGTAAAGTTTACTTGAAATGCATTAGTGCAACTAAAACTTCTGTGTGAACTAAGTTTTCTGAATGCTATTACTAGGTGACAAAGCTACTGACTAATTAGGTGAGCGCTCGTGAACTAGTGGCGCCACTGTAGCTTTAGACTTCTTTAATCAAATTAAACATAGAACAATTCATTGTTTGAGATAAGACTGATTGATTTATATGAGAAAATGTAACATCATGTTAGGACATGGGTAACTTTAGTTCGAAATAGATTATGTATGAGTAAATTTGACACATTTGACGCAAAATCATAGTTATAAAGTTTAACCATTGTTGTCTTCTTTAAGATGCAAAAATAAAGACTAAAATAATAAAAAAATAAATTTACAAAGTTGCAAATAGATTTTATGTAAAATTATAATTTAAAACGCAAATCTGAGTGAAAAGAAGTTTAGTGATAAGCATTTAGTACCCTGTTTTCACTGGCCACTTGTAAAAAAATGCACAAAAATTTAAAAACAGAAACACTACTCAATTTCAAATTGCATAGGATCACATCTTTGACTGACACATCGTTAGACCAGTAATATTTTACATTCATTTTAAAATTGAGTAGCATTGCAGATATTTAACAAAATAAAAACAGAGTATTTAAAAGAAAATCGAGTACAAAATAAAGATTACTATTTGCTTATCTATTTTAAGTTATAGTTCAAAATAGATAAACAAATATGTGTTTAAATAAATAGCTTTTTGATTTAACGTAGCAAGGCCCTAAGCAGACCACTCAGGAGTTACTTAAAATAAATTAGTAATACCAGTATATTTTGTCAGCTAACTTAGCAGTTAGCACTATCGTGTTAGACTATATTTTTCTGTATTAAATGCTTTAAGACATTCTCGAACACTCAGCCTTTATGAAGAACAAAGATTTACATTTCATATAGCTGTGGAATTTAGTGCAATGGTTTAGAAGTTAATAAGAATGTACTCGCTTGTACATTTGCAGAGATTCAGTTTGAATACTGATAATATGTAAGTTTGATAGTCCGCTTAGGGCTCAAACTACAATTTAGAGAATACTTTACAAAGAAATTTTGTTCACCGAGAACACAAGTATAACAATCAAAAAAAGCCTCATACAAATAAATACCCTACACCATTAATTTCGGGGACTTAAAACTAGATGGCAGCAGTGTTGTAAGATGGCGTACAATTTACAGAATACCATTAACAATAAGTTACATGATTCCACTAATGCCTATAAAATAATTTACTAGAATCTACAGATAGTATTATGACGTCTATAGTATAATAAAATATATAAATGATAATATCTACTTTATAATAAAAACTCGATTATTGCAAAATATATATAAAAATACAAGACTAGCTTTACATTAGAAGTAATTTTTGTAAAATATAATTATGCTATTACACTAAAGTACTTGTAATAACGTAAGTAATATTTAGTTTAACAATAGTATAGAAAAAACTAGCATGTTCTATACGGCCAACCCAAAATGATTAAAAAAATATTACATAATACTGAATACAATGGAAAAAATAAAAGTAATACAATTTATTATGACAAATTGTGATGAAAACAATAGAAAAATAACCCATGAACATTATTTAAGGTTATAGATTAAAAATCAAATCAGGTATTGACGCTGAATGTCAAATACTTTGTAAGTCAACTCTACAGTTTACGACATAAAGTCGTAAATTCAAAGCCATGTAATTTCCGATCACTGGTCAGAAAAATCCCTGCTCAAAAGCAGCAAAAATTTAAATATAAAATAAAAAAGTATAATGCTGAGTCTATTGTCTTGGGTAATTCTTTAAAGGATGAATCTAAACGTCGTTTCAGTAAAAAAATCTGAAAACCATACTTGTACACACAAAATGTATACGACAATAAATAAAACCTAATTGTATGTATCCATGTCTAGTACGAATGACTTTCTTACATACCTTATATTAGTATTTTATAACGTCATATGTATATTTTATGCTATACATAATTTCAGGGCGATTTCACATCCATAACCTCGGGTCAGAAATAAAATTAACTAGCTTTACTAAATATCAATAAAATAACTGTTCTTAAAATCACTGATGAACTAATAAATTTACCCTTATTAATTATGATACAAGTTTTGTAAAAACAAATCATAGAAGCAGGAATTGAGTTTGCAGCCTCCAATTCACCATGTCGGTGAACGGCAAAGTTATTGTTCAACCGCTTGAATGCATCAATATGAGACATAATAGACAATACATTGTCTCACGTCGATCCACGTTTAGACACACGACGGGTTAATAGACCCAAGTAAGGTTCCTTTATAACTTTACAAGTATCTTTGCACGGCATTTGCTGATCATTGTTAGAGGAAAATTTGCCTTCAACACTTATCTATCGATAGTCAAAAACTTTGTCTGTCGAAACTCCTCAACTTGTATCATATTTAGTAAGAAAGCACATGTCCATGTAAAAATTCACTATAAAAAGCTCTCATTAATTGCACAAAACTGTTTAAAAAAATAATTTAGTGGCATTTTGGAGTTAGAAACGAAGAGCATACAAATTTGTTCCTTATACACATAAAATCGAGACGAAATCTACAAAAAGTAGTTTATACGATACAATTTTTTGATCTGAGTATACACCAATTGAGTATTCAAGTAAATAGGTTGTATAGAGTAACATTGTAAAGTGAACTTTGACCCCTTGTTTATAAGGTGGGGTTTTGTTCTTTCGGGAGGTTGTTCCCTGTGTATGAAGACCAATGGAATACTGTTTGGACTCACACTTCGATATGGTCGTAGGAGGCAATTGGGCGCTTCAATTTCTGCGGGTTTACTATCGAAGGTTTCTGAGTACGTGTATGCCATACAAACACTTTAGTACAGTTCTCAGCTAACGGCTCCAATTCGTCTCTCGTCGTGAAGTATTTTAATATTTCACTTTCCTGTAAATTAGAGAAAAATTAAAGTTAATAAATAGTTTTTGAATTTATTAATTTCTTAAATGATTGGTAGCATACGTATCTTTTTATTTTATCAATTTTGTCTTTAAAACTCTTCGTTAAATAAAATTAAAACTACCTCGTTGGCCGAGGGGTCGCATGTGCGACTGTCGGGCAAGGCGTCTCGGGTTCGATTCGCGGGTCGCTCAAAGTATTATTGGGTTTTTATAAAAAAATCTAAGTAGTAGCAAGGAGTCTGGAATTGTGCCCGGTATATGGCAATAGGCTCACCCCCCGATGTAATCATGGGACTTGTAACATAAATAGTGGCAAGTGGGTGTTACATTGTACAGTGGCATTAAGTTCCGTAATGTGTATCTCTGTCTACCCCTTCGGGGAGAAAAAGGCGCGATGTTATGGTAGCACGTGTCTACCGTATGTGATATGTGTCCAGGTTATGTAGCAATAACCTTTATAGGACTTTACTAAAATAATTACAATATTACGATAATGTTTTCTACAAATAAGTAATATTATTCACATTCGTCACAAATAATGATATAAATGAGAGAAATATTGTGGAAAATTTTTGTGAGACATTGGTTCGTTTAGCACGCATCCAACCTATGATTATAAGCCTTAGTGTAGGTCGAAAATAGTCGACCACCCTCAAAAATTAAATTATTTATGTCTTTTTTTTAACACATAATGATTTACAACTGCGGTTGTGGTTATTATTTTAAACTGTCAAACACCAAGCGGTCATCGGTGACCGCGACCTATTGTTCTTTAATTGTGTCTATAAAACCGGTACTCGACGAGTTAAATGCAATATAAATAATTAAATACCTAAAATTAATTGGCAGTAAGAGCTTGAAGTGTTATTATAACAATAATGACATTTTGAACTGTATTATCTCTAAACTTAGAGACCAATATGTCTTTCTATTTATAACAAATTAGGCAAAACAATGATAACTTATGATCTATTATTTGATACTTAGCTAGTTATAAACCGGTTGTAGTTGGTTTTTTTAACATTAACGGATAATAGACAAAGCGTGTAATGATTTTTATAGATGCCTATTATTAAGCTATTACATTTACATTTGTCAGTCTCCGAACTGACAATTACCTTATTTATTTGCAATAAAACAATTCAACTACGGGCAATTCGTGCAAATACTGAATTGAACGACCCAAGACTTTTTTTATTTAGTAGCCTGCAAAAAGCATCAAGTTGTCAACGAAACATTTTTTTTAAACCTTGGCCCACACTTGGATTTTCTCCTGTGTCGTGGGTGCGTATATACAATATCACATACACATGACACCTAGACCCGGGACAACAATCTGTGGATCACACAAAGAGTTGTTCCGTGCGGGGATCGAAACCGCGACACGTTGCGCGGCATCCAGTTCCCCAGCCACCGCGCCAACCGTGCAGTCAAGTCAAGTCAATTTAGTTAATAATATTTGTCTATGATATCTCAAGTAGATGTCAAAGTTTGATTACCTACGTTTTATAAATAACTAGCTGACCCGGCAAACTACGTATCACCTAAAACACTTTTTAAACCTGCACTGGTCTTCCACAAATCTTTCAAGACTAAAATTCTCTAAATCGGTCCATTCGTTTTTGAGTTTTATCGAGACTAACGACGAAAAGCAATTCATTTTTATATAATATATAACCATTTATATGTTATATAACCAATGGATTAACCTATAAACACTTATTATTCCCAAAGGTTGTCTGGTAGAAATACCTATAAGTGATAAGAAGAAATAATAATGGGCACAACACCTTTGTGCCCATATTTTTTTTGTTTTGTTTGTAATTTCTTTTTTGTCTGTAATTAATGATGTGCAATAAAGATTACTCATACAATCATCCCGTAAACATGGGCTATAATCCCTTAAAAAAGCAGGACATACAATCAAAGTGCTTTTATTCGTTATGTTCAACATAACACAATGTAATCAACATCAAAATGTCCATACATGCTAATTGGGTTTTCCTGAGGCAGGCGTACATACCGTAACAATAATCTGATATTAAGAGGTCAAGATTCATAAGATACTAAGCTCCACTCAAGGGCAATGATAATAATATATTATAATGACAGATGTGTTATTTTTTAGTTACCTATTATTTATATGTAGGTATGTGTGTTCCAGTGTCCATAACGCTTTGAAGTTATCTTATTTTAAAAGTTATCCTGCACTAATATTTTACACTGATAAGTACTTAATGGTTGATTCACAGACACAACGTAGGTACGTGTTTTATTAACACACCGAGTTATATTCGGTATGTGCTGGGTGAGTTGTATTGTACGTAGCTTAGGCCATAATTTTATTTCTAGTTAGCAAATATCTAAATAGTTATACCTATATAACCTTTTATTGTAACTGACCGGTAAGGGACTTAACGCCAAGATTAGTGTAAAATAACATTTTTTCTGAATTTTGTCATTTCGATTGAAATATTAATTACAAATACTAACCTGAAAGCCAGACTGGACTTTTCTGGAGAACTTGGCTTCAGGGTGTTCAAGGAACAGAGTAGCGTTGATAGCAAACCCTGCCATGTCAATGGGGAATGGTCGGAATGGTTTCCACCAGGCGTTGAAGCCGCTTACTTTCCCGTCCGTGACTAGAGGCATCTCGACCCTCATACCGCCAACTATACCGACTGGCCACACACCAACTCTCTTTATTTTCCGCATCTGTAATTAGGAAATAAAAGAATATTATATTCTTGCTTGTTATTAGAAGATTATGTTATACAAGAGTTTATAAAATACGGATACAATTGATCCGTTTCGTTGGTTGAGGTCGGAGAGCAAATGCATAGCACGATGCTTCAGGTTTAACTTCCGCGTCTAGTTAAGTATTAAATATTGCGTTTTGGACATTATCAGTAATAATATGGAGTCTATATTGAAAGTTGGTGTTAGTGTAGTGTGTGTGACACCTCGCCCTATAACTAAGTAGTGTAAGTTAGATATTAGGACACTGGCAGGGTCGCCATGCAATGAGGGAGACGTCTTGTTGTTACGAATAACTTTAATTAAGTGTCCTAATATCTAACTTACACTACTTACTTATAGGGCGAGGTGTCACACACACTACATTACATTTTAATATAATGCTCTTTAATCGAGCGATAGACAAAGATAAAAATTCATAAAACACAGTAAAATATATAAAATGTCTGTATCAATATAAAACAAAACGCTCTATTGCTAGGGGTTCCACGAAACTAGATAGGGAAGTGGACCCATTATTCATTAGACTATTTATAGCGGGATCTATGCTAAGAGGAGATAAGATAAGGCAGTAAACAGTCGGGTGGTACACCCAAACTTATCGATCCAATGACGTTATTGAACAACCATATTTATTCATGTTTTCCTCATTCATATCAACCTTTTTGTAATCTCGTATTATTCTATTAAGCAGCTTCCTAATTGTATAGTCAGTACAGTTAAAGTTAACCTCTTTTTTATCGGATAGGGCGGCAAATAGCAAGCAACCGGGGCGCCGATCTTGGACACCCATAACTCCCAAGAGTCCCAAGTTTGTTGCCGGCCTTTTAGAGATAGGGAATGATAGTATGACGCCTGGTATGCCGAGAAAAGAAACATTGTGCCAACCCCATAGGACCTAAATGATAACAACAAGAAGATTAAAAGAGTTATAGCCTAGATTTAAGACATATTTTCGATTATAAACGATAATCACACCTATTACCACCATGTTAGGACTACTGAAATCAGTGGCAAAAAGTGGATAATGATTTGCCTTAGTTGACTAAGGCCATTAATATTAATCATTATCCACTTTTTGTGAAGGTGAATAATCAAGAAGTCATAATAAGCTTATAGCGAAAACATAAACATGGTAATCCATTCGCTTTTATAGTCATTGCATCGATAAAAACCTAGTACATTACGACACTTCTAGATTTCTGTATGCACAAATCATTTTATGACGCTGTAGGAACAAGAATTTTATTGCTATTATTAGCTGCAGTGAAAATGTTAGATTAACTTGTTAATAATTCTGTTTATTACATGCATTGTACCATGTAACTATTGTAAGTAATGAAATAAATAGCATAATAGGATAGATGCCTAATTTTTATTTTAATGTCCGTCTGGTAGAATATTTAAAATCATTAGACACGTATTTTTTATTTTCTTACAGAAATGAACACTTTCGACGATATAATGATTTGAAATGTCGCGTGACGTATCACTTCTATGTACATTTTATACGTAGTAATGACGTTTTAGCCCCCACTCCTAAACTGATTCGTTTTATCTAAGCATTGTTTTGTTATACGACAAAATAAAAAAAATACGTGTCTAATATTTTTCATTACCTAACTTACGGACTAATTATATTTTTAATTTTCATACCCTGTCATCATGCCAATTGTCCTAAGATCATTTTTTCTCTGTCTTTCTAAACAAATACAAAAGAAGCGACACTGTGTTTACATAAAGGCCCGTACAAGTTATTATTATCAGTGACAGTCATAAGTAGGTATTCGTGTAACAATAGACAAATTAATAGTGAGAACCAATATGGAAAACTAAAATAGGATCATAAATAATTTTGATGATGAGTAGAATAGATCTATATCTCAGAAGAAAGACTGTTTGCTTTGAACTGGCTACCAGCAAACGTCACGTATGCACCAGTCATCGACATGATCGGTACTCTGTAGTCTGTAGTGTTACGCTCAACCTAATTTTAGAAAGGTCAACGACCCGTCTCATGACGGTGTACAATCGCGAAATATGCTCCAAGAATTTAATGATAACGTCTTTAGATGCCTGTAGATTCATGACTTTTTAGGGACATGAATGTTGTCTATTAATTAATTACATGTTGTATTCAGTAATGTAGCGCGACAAAGATGCGTCTGATACGTAAGTAAATTGTTTAGTATTTTCTATAAGTTCTTTTTGGAGTTAAGTCTCAGGTGCTAAAAGGGCTTGGCATATTGCACATAATTTGATATTGTAACATACAAAACACATACAATGCCACATTTTGTGTTACTATTGCCAATCATGACACCAAAAGATACGATATTTAATTATTTAAATATCGTTTGATTGACCTAATAATCGAATTTAACAGTTCAGGAGTGTATTCAAAGTCGTATTGCAACTATAAATTATATAAATATGAGTCAAAATTTTACCTCTAGTAAGCTAGTCAATAGACACATATTTTACCGGAGACCTAATCTCTCGCTTCCCAATCCCCGAATCCGCAACAACCCTCAAATCCTTAATCCCCAAAAGGCCGGTAACGCACTTGTAACGCCTCTGATGTTCCGGGCGTCCATGGGCGACGCCGATTGCTTACCATCAAGTGATCCGACTGCTGGTTTACCAGCTTATCCCATAAAAAATACAGGTTGTTGAAAATTGCCATAAGTTTGTGTGATTGTCTATAATCAGTAGCATTACTAATGTAATATAAATTGTAAGTACATACAACATAATATTTACAATGCGATAATACTCTAATCGCAACGTAGTAACAACATAATAGTTATCGTGACTAACCGAAATCAGTCAAATGATAAGCAATACAGTTTACAATAATAATTACAAGTGAGGGCTTAGGGCTCATACATAAAACTGCGATTCGACGTCGCATCGCAAAAATGTGCGACCTCCCTCTACGCATCGCGCATCAAAATCTTATCTTCCCAAAATCTTATTTGTTTGTTTTTCCTGTATCTCCTGAGCTATAACAGAAGTGCACACTTTTTTTACGATCCATGTCACGAAATAGTTTTCAATTTAAAATACGTTTAGTACGGTTAACGGACGGTCGAAGGAATAGTCACCCTGGGAGACGCCTTGTCGCACGAAACGCATCGCAGCAATTTGCATCATAATTTTTTGCGTTGCGAATTCGCAACACAGTTTTGTGTACGAGCCATTAGTTCGAGTTTGTTTTACGTTTTAAGCAATCATAATGTGTACGATTTCGGCGCTCTGATTGGCCAGCTCCAATGAACCAACCAATCAAAGTACATAGTTTCCTAGTTTGTTTAGTCACGATTGAACATCAGCTGTCGATCACAAGGCCTTCCCTTTTAATACTCTGTGGTTACAAAATAATTCTTTGAATGAATATTAAAAGTAACTATAGCTACATAATCTTATACTATCCATACATATAATAAAATTGTAGGAAAGTGAAAACTGTACGTTGAATATTTTTTAAAAGAATGGTTGAGACGTGATCTACAATCGATATCGAAGCTAAAAATATGGATTTTAGTATTTTTGTCTGTTTGCTTGTATGTATATCCGGGTTAAACTCAAAAAGTACTGTATGGATTTACTTCAAATTTTGCATGAATATTACGAACAGGTTGGTTCAACATATACGCTACATATTATCACGCTATCATTTCCGGGGGAAGACCTGTGAATCACTATTCCACGCGGACGAAGTTGCGGGCACAGCCAGTTATATAAAGGTGCTGCCTCACCGAGCATTCACGTGTAATGTAACATTATAGGTTCGACTTTGAGCACTACATTACAATAATACCTCCCTGACTAACAAGCATTTGCGTGTAATGTAACATATAGATTCTGGGCTTATAATTTCTAATTATAAGTTTGTAATCACCAACTCGCATTGAGCAAGCATGGTGATTAATGCTAAAACCTACTTCGTGTGAGAAGAGGCTTGGCTCAGCAGTTGGCATTTATAGGCTGTTGTTGAAGTATAATAGTAAAATTATTATTACTTAAAATTCAAAGTACGTGTGTACTTCATCTATGATGATGTCATATGACTGAAGGTCTTGTCATGCCAAGACATAAGGTGCACATGTATGCAGTAGCTATAAAGGCATAAAACTTGTTTTATTCTACGGAGACGAGACGCGTTTAGAAAAGATCTTCTGAAGAATATTAGGTATACATTCTATATTTTTACATAAACAATGTCTCTGTTTAAATACACATATTATTATTTAGACTTGTTACAGTAAACATATGACATTTATACTCTAGTTCTTGACTCTTGACTAAATGGAAAATTCAATGTATAGGATTGACCAGTATCTACATTCGGCAATTTACACAAAACCCGCAATTTACACAATTCAGTTCACGATACACTCAGTCGTCTAGCACTTAAATTCCATGTGTCTTATAGCACTGTTATAATATATTCTATAAATATGTATGAATGTATGTTTACGTGCATATCTCTAAGACTAGATACAATAAAGGCTATCTAGAGTCGATGAACTCTTTCTTGATAAAGATGCGGTGTAGGTACTATTAATATAAAGTTCAGACGCAATTTTCAATAAGTAGAATGTGTCAGTACTCAGTTCGCAGAAAACGATAAAGATTGTCGTTTGTGGTTGACGACTACTGACCAATATCCTTGAGTGATTCGTACCTAAGCGTTGAAAAGTATTAAGTGAGGGGTTTTAGATATCAAAGTATTCTAAATCACCGATAAACAAAGCCTTCCCTTTAGCAATGCCACTTGCCATATCAAGTCATGTATGGCAAGCCATAAGGATTATCAAACCTTTTTCAGTTTTCTCTACCCATAGCTGACACCTTCAGACAATTGCAGGTAAATGATCAGATAGTTAAAAGCACGTCTCTGTATAAGCAAGTCCCTAATCAGTTAATTAACCCTTTGAGTACCGTCATTATAGAGTATAGACACATTTAAAGAACAATAGGTTGCGGTCACCGGTGTCCTCACTTAAGGTTACACAACAATAGCAATTATTAAATAATATATCAAAATCAAACAATAAGAATCTTTATGTATTAAATTATAATAGTAAATATCTTTGAGTCAACCCTCAAAGACCTAAACATTTATGGCGCCATCAATTCAGTCCCGAATGACTCCTAGTAATCGAGTTTTATCTATTTGTATATTGGCTTAGGAAACTATCGGGGTCGGGAACTCCAGTTAGTCACTTAGGTTAGGAAATGATAAGATAGTGTCGATGACCCTCGCTAAATGTTCAGGCACTAATTTAATACATTAAGTTGCTATATTAGAGTGGTCTATTAACCAGGTTGAACTGTGCTTTATGATTATGAGCCTATTTTTATTCTATCCTATGGATTTATGTGTGAAAGTATAATCTAAGTAGAGGTAACTAGATCACATGGCAGATAACTTACGCACTGGACTGTTCAGTAAAATCCGCAATGGGATACGTGAGTGATACTATGCTAGACAATCTGCAAAAAGAGCCCCTTAGGTATGGGCGATGGCGCATTGCAGAATATTGTGAAGAAGGAAGGAAGATGTAGCAGCCACTAACTCGTATAAGTAAGACCGGGAAGTAGGAGTAACATCCTATCCTATGCCTATGTATGTATCTATTACAGAGCAAAATTATTAACTCTAAAAAACTCCTAATAATACTTTGCTTCACTGTCCTGACTTTAGGATCGACCTCAAAACACTCGCGTCTTCCCTAGAATCCTTCATACCGCGTGAAGCTATAAATACATAGCTATTGTTAAGTACAATGATTACAACATTACATTTTCCTGTATAGGAGCGGTGATATTGTTATTGTTTGTGAATAACAACGAGGCTCTCATTACACATACCTAAGTATTATATTGTAGGTAGGTATGTTAGTAATGTCACGGTGAATGTTATTGCGGTGTAAATAAACTACTAGTTGATTATATCCGATTCTTATCCGGTAATACTACATAGTAATACAGTGGCGCATGTATTTATTTATGTTGAACACGCGTGAGCAGTGCATTCGTATTTGGACGAATAAGTATGTAATATTTCAGTAAAGAATGTGTGAAAACTGGCATGATTTGCGACATTGTATTTTTTTATTTTGTTAAGGTGTAAATCATGTTGGATACGCTGCCTGTTTAATACGCGAGAATAGTTGATTAAATTTTTATGTGATTTGTTTCGTCGCATTTGTCTCAGTCCTAAACATTCCTAATATACTTTAAATACGTATAAAAATAATCATTTAGGTATTTCACATACATATTCCCGCACATACGAGACGACACAAAACTTGTCAACTTCCCTAGTAAATAAATACGTAATGGCATTTAAGCGCTAATCGGATAAGCGACCAGAAAATGCAATGTATGCACTTGACACTGACATTCGAATAATTATGTCAAGTTCATACATTGACTTTTCAATTATTCCGTCCACACATTATGGGGGAACAGTCAGTTTATATGAAACTATTATAGCGTGGTAATTATTGATAAATATTATGTGCCTGCTTAGTTAACAGTTATTTTGCCTCAATCGCTATTCAAAATGGTGAAAAATTTTTCCGCGTACGTGATATTAAAATTCAATGCGCATGACGAAATTTTGGTTCATCCGTAAAAGAAAAATGGATATAAACACTTTTAATATTTTAAAAACACTCAGATTTTCTACTAAGTTTTCTTTTCATTATATATTAGACACAAGTCTCAACGTTTCATTTAAGGCCGTTATTTTAATTTTTTAGTCTGAATTTCTTTGCATAGGCTATAATTGGCAATGTAAGCTGTGCGAAATCCTACTAAGTTAATTAGTACAAATCTGTTATTTGATGTTTTTGAGGGTTCGTTGATAAAGGCGTGACAAGCTAATCCAAGTTTCGTAACTCACTAGTGACCTTTTTAGGTCTTGAAAATAAACAAGAGTTATAGAATCAATCTTACCTCATCAAAAACTTTAAGCGAATAAGTGTTGTCATCGTCCATAAAGTAGACAACGCCTCTTTGATCCTCGGACTTCTGCAAATGGCCCTTCAGCCAATCCAGAGCCAGATTTCTTTGTTCCACGCCACTGGCCTGTAATTACACAAATACTAATCAAAAACTGGAACATCCGCTAAACATTTACCACATGTTTTGTTAATCCATCAATACTACATTTCTATTGATATTTATCAAACAATTACAAAACAAACATCCCTTTTGTGTTATGTATCGCACACGAAGAATAAAACATTGATATTTGTATGGTTCGTGAAAGAAGGACAGTTTGTTAGGTGACGTCTGTTGGCTAATCTCAAAAACCGATTTGATATTTGCTCGAGTAACCTACCGATGGTTAATTATTGAGACTGGCCGTAAAATTCCATGAAACATAAGTACCATACACTAAGTATTTCTTAGGCGTATAGAAATTGGGGTGTAAACATCTTTACTACACACACCGGCAAAATTAGGGGAACACAAAAAAAAGACAGTTCTTTTTTAATTATTAGCTTTTTATGAATGTTTTTTTCGATTAATTTGGGTTTGGGTATTCAAAACAAATATGACGCAAAAGGAATTAGGGTTGAACATTATTTATTTACAGATACTTACAAAAAAATAGGAAATTTAAGTCCTTTACATTTTATTCAATATTTTTTTAAAATTTAATTGTCATATTTTTTTTTATAAATTACCTAATTAATACCTCGTATTGCCACCGCGGGCTCTAATTAGGGCTTCAATACGTCTGCTCATGCTTCTAATGACACTGTCAATCATTTCTTGGGGTAAATTGGCCCACTCTTCAATTAACGCCAATTTTAATTCCTCAACATTCCTAGGAGGTGGAATTCTCTCCCGCACTTTGCGTCCAATCATGTCCCAGACATGCTCTATCGGGTTCATGTCTGGAGATCGTGCTGGCCAGTCCATTTGGGTAATTCCAATTGCATTTAAGTACTCGCGAACCACGCGAGCAGTGTGCGGCCTTGCGTTATCGTGCATAAACACAAAATCTGGCCCTATGAATGGGACAAAAGGCATTACATGGGGTTCTAGGATCTCTGTTATGTACCTGTGTGCAGTCAGAGAGCCGCCTTCAATAATGACCAACGCGGTGCGGGCTGTTGAAGTAATGCCACCCTACACCATAACGGACCCTCCACCATATGACACCGTTTCGGTAAAATTGGCTTGATGGTACCGTTCTCCTCGATACCTCCACATCCTTTCCCTCCCGTCGATGAAATTTACACAAAATCGGCTTTCGTCCGAGAATAAAACATGACCCCATTCATCGGACCAATCTTGGTGCTGACGAGCGAACGCTAATCTTGCAACTCGATGACTTACCTCAAGTTTAGGCGCTTTTGCTGGCACGTATGACTTTAAACCAACTTCGTTTAACCTTCTTCTTACTGTTCGTTCACTAACTCGCACGTTACGCACTTCTTCTAAAAGGTTTCGGGTCTGCACAGCTGTTTGACGACGGTTTCTCAACGTTTGCACCCTTATGAAACGATCATCTACGGCACTGGTTGCACGCTTTCTGCCTTGTCCCCGCCTCAGTACGTAAGATCCCGTCTGTCTGTATCGTTTGACACAACGGTGGATCACAGATACTGATACACCCAACGTTCGACTCACTGAACGGTATGTGTGCCCTTCCTCGATCATTGTCACAGCTATGGCAACTTCAGTTGCTGGTAAATCACTCATTTTGTATGCAATACAATGTTAACTCTTCAAACAATAACAACAAAATAAGCTAGGGCCTCTATTGACTGCTCCAACAAAATCCTTATCAAAAACACTTAAAAGCGCTGACACTCAATAAACACTTGAGAGCGTATAATTTATGCTAGATTGTTGAAAAATGTCAAAATATCTCAAAATATTGTGTTGTACGAAGGTAATTTCATAAATAAATGAAACACTTGACAAATCATTCACGAGTTCCAAAAAAAATGGCCCTTTTTTTTGTGTTCCCCTAATTTTGCCGGTGTGTGTATTAAAAAAAATCTCCTCCTTGGAACTACGTGTTACCGTCAAATGAATACATTAATGCAAAACCTACCTAGGTACTTTATGATATTCGGTTTATGCACATAGTTTCATAAATATTTTTATACGATGTAATACGATGCTCCAGTGTCGATGTTTGGAGACAGAAAATGTTTTGCTAAACTGTTATTAATATTATTATTCAAAGTTGAGGTGTCACACCATTTAGACATAACGAAAACGATAAAAAGACTTCTTTTGGTTAAAACTGCGGTGTCAAATAAGCCACTAGTGTGTGGCACTTCACTGAGGCAAAGAAAAAAGAAACAATAGGCCCCTTTTTTGAAGACTTGGCGAACTGCCAAGCGATTGACAAAGCATTAAGTACACTTAACAAAATTATGTTACTACAAATTTTCGTAAAGTCATTCCCCTTTATAAAAAAAGTCTTAAACAATATTCAACGCTAAATAGTAAGTAGCCAAAAGGAAGAAGAAAAAGTTAATAAGTTAAATTAAAATTTAGAAGATTCAAACAAGAAGAGTGTTTAAAAACCCACAACACTTATTTTCACGCAAATTAGAAGCCACTGAAATTGTTATTCGCAATAATTCAGTAGACATACAGACCAACTTGCAAATTATTTAGTGATGATATCATCATAATTGTTATCCTTGTCATCACAAATTATAATTCCTAGCGCAAGTACCTAGTTATACTACAAGTATTAAAATATAGATAGGTATAGGTAGATACTACTATAATTTATACCCAGATGTGCTCATTTATAAAAACATCTTACTTCTTTAGGTGGGAACCCATACTATAAAATTGTGTATTTTGTGTAGTGCTGCAATGATCAACAAACAATTCATGTGTTTTAAATGCTACCTAATAAATGCTTTTTGACTCCATGGTGAAAAATTCTCATAATTATAATAGTTTGAAAAATTCTAATAGAATGAAGGAGACTGTCAGAGTCTTACTAATTCAAAACCACCCCGGCAGACGGTCAATATAGGTATGAGGGTGCACTGAACCTAATATTCTCCCCGCTTTTATTGGAGGAGAAACAAGGAAGGTATCGTCTCCTTCAAGTTTCACCTCGGGCTCTGTATAATGCAGGGACGGGGACTACCCCAAGTCCAAGAATATTATTGAATACATTTAGAGAGATTAAAAGAGAGCAATTTCTGCTCTCCTACTCTTTGATGTGCTTGCTGACGGTGAATAATGACTTGTGATATCTCTGTACCTTCCTTCCGTAATATTCTTTTCCAGAAGAATAGCACTGTAGGTATCTTACGACACGAAACTGCACTGCCGACATGCCGTCCAGAAAATTCTGGACAAACAGTTGGTAGCGACAAGTGGTCACCAATCTATTAATAATATGACTATGTGGGCACAGAGTGATTTGTCCTACACCACATTCTCTATCAACGTGTGCTAGTACTGTTACAATGAAAGCTAACCCAAATACTAAATGAAGTTGAATGAAGCACCCAAAATATGTTGATAAGTATTGAAAATGCCCTTTTGTAACTACATTACCTAATAGTATGTAGATGAAGATATAATGTATGCAGATACTCCCTTCAAGTATGTGCAATCACTAAAGTGCTACTTTTATAAATAGTGAAACGACACAAAATATGTGTACAGAAACTTTAGACAAACCTTCTTGACATATTTTGATCTTTTTGAATATGGAAGCTAGGATCAATTGGATAAACAACATACAAATAAACGAAATTACCCCAAGTTAACTATGGTAAACGAAACTCAAACAAACACAATGTAACATAAAAATATTGAGACCCCATTGTCAATATAAAATAACTTACTGCGACCCCTTTAATTCCTCTTACTTTCTGTATAGATGTAGGCTGCAAAGGATAAAAAATATTTACAACCCTACTAATATCAAACAACTGCTACTTCTGTGACCACTATTTGTATTCTACTGTTCCTGCAAGGAACTTAGAATCAATAATATAATTGAATACATAATTATTGGGCTCTTCTTTTTATAACAATGTCTCAGTAATACCGCGGAGTCTGGAATTATGCTCAGTCTATGATAATAGACTAACCATCTACTACAGAGGACTTATAACAACTGCTTATAAGTGGATTTTGCATTGCACAATATGTACACATCTGCATACTCTTTCAAAGATGCAAAGTAAATAGTATAATTACTAGTCTCCATTGTTAAAATGAAGTAACTTACTAGGAAACTATTAGTTCCTGTAACTGTCAATATTGGTGTAAGCTGCAAAAGGATAAAATATATTTAACTGCTATTCTAAATATATTACAAGGACCTGCTTTTTTTGAACTGACTCGGTGAGGTAACTCGTGAAAAATGGGTGCTACCTACATACTTTAATATGGAATGGAATTATGTCATTTTAGCATTGAAACTATTTCACGTTTATGCCTAAACAGCTAAATAAATTGCAAGTTTTATTAATCACTGTTAAAACACGATTTCATCAAACATTCATTTACACAAACATTTATGCACGAATTCAGAGAACATCTAAAAACTGTTTGGACATACACAATACCAAGATGTGTTGTACAAGCTTGTTTTAAACACACATATATTGATGTCCATCACCTGAAATATTTATTAAAATTTAAAACAAAAACATAGATGAGTTTTGTTTTTAACTAGTACATTGAATGACTATAATATCCATTGTTGTATAATCTATGCTTTGATATAATATTAAGCTTGAATTTCTTTAAGCAATAAGAATTGCTAAAATATATAGTAGGTACTTTTCATCACTGTGGAATATTTCGAAGCATATTTTGTAGAAATTGTACAGTACACATATCTTTTAAAGTAAAAAAAGTGGAGTAAAATACTTTTGAGAGACTGCTATAACTTAATCGTTAGATCTTATTCTGCAGCACCTTAAGCAGAATCTTTTGTAGATAATATTATTACAAAGAATTTAGTTTGAGGTAGAAAGCATATCGCTAGCAATACGGGACTATACTTGGCACAGAAATGTGCATCTAAATTCAAATATCCAGACATACGTGAATCTCAGTAGCCTTGCCAACGACTGTTGAACTAGTTTATCTTTATTCTAATTTTACAATATCAAAAACATTCATCATACATACCGTGGATTGTTTCGTTTTGTGAGTTTTAATGTTCAGATGTGTGTACTTTAGATTTGATTCTTTGAGCAAGTTCGCAACCAATTTTGTCTTCTCTAAAGAGTCTTCAATCACCACCCAATGAAGGTTCTTTACATGCATCAAAGTTTGTGATAACCTGGGAAAATAGAATGGAGTTAATATTTTTTTTACTGACAAATGTACATGGAATAGTTTATTAAAAGTTTAAAGTAGAAAAAATACAGTAGAGATAAATATACCTTATACTAGGTAAGTAGACAATACATTTCTATTCATAGCAAAAAGGTTCAATGACTTTTTTCCTGAGTCGCTTAATTAGGACTACTGATAGCACAAAAACAAGGTAAGTACTTCTTTTTTACAAAAACGTAACTATAAGAAGCATTATTTGTGGTAATAATTATGAATAAATCATCATTATATTGGAAACAATGAAGGATATTTACTTTTCTCTCTATTTACAGTCTGGGCAAACACAGGTGAACAATTAACAAAAAAGAAATAACAGATAAAGCAAATATTGAACTTACAATTGAAAATTAAGTTTATTTGCGAACAGTATTATTACTTCCTGAAAATGGGCTATGAATGAGTTTTTTTTTTGCATTTTGATAACTTTTATGAGCAATTATTGGACAATGATATTTTTTTAAACATTATACTAATAAATGAAATATAAGATACTTTACCTTAGTCTATAGGATTGATTAAAAAGAAGTTTTAAAATATAAATTATATAAAGTCACAGTTAACTTGAGTAGGAAATCAAAAGTAAAATACTAGTTTAAGGACAGCAGCTATCCAACTTGCTTTCCTTCAATTTCAGCCTGTGATAAGATTTGCTAGTTGGTAGTTTACAAAATTACATACAAAACACTAGAAATAACTAGTTATGCATTAACATCTAACTATTTGGTAAAAGATGATGATAATAATTGCCTACTATAGATGCACAACAATAACCCATTGTTTGAATGAGACTGAATTAGATACTACAAAGGGATAAAATATTTCTAGATACATAGATGTACAGTTACCTTACAGTTACAGTTATGAAATACACTACATTATTTACATTATAAATATACCTATATGATTAGACTAAAATATATAATTAGATATCAGAGTTGCCTTATTATTACAAATGAATTTGAACAATAAACTCGCAAACTACAAATAAACTTATCAAATAAAATTAATTGGTAATTGCATTTACATTTCGTTGAATTCCACAAATAAAACTCGACAATTGACTTGGCCTACTCATGGTTAAACACTTACAGTGATTACTCAATGCATAATATCTTGTGTAAGCCCATCAATTAACCAATTAAAATAATTGTCGGCTTACCAAGAGATATTGCCAAATACTTTAGCCAAACAAATGAGGTAAGATATCCATACATCAAGGGCAGGAGAATCACGATAAACAATTCATACCTTGTAAGATCCGCCTTTTGAGCGAGCCTCGCGTACGTTGGAGTAATCCCGTATATCACTGGGAGATATGAACTCACTTCTGCATTAAACTGACATTGAAAAACTGGCCTAGTGTTAAATAAAAACAACATAACGAAAATTAACAACCCCATTGCTAGATATTGCTTTTTGATGTTTACAAAAGGCATCTTATTGTCGGTCACTTTTCTTTCAATTAATTCTATGGTCACTGAGCGTGCTTCTCACAGCATTATTATACACATAAAAATTTACAAGTTAATATTGTAAAATAGCTCGTAACAAGTCCGCTGATGCGGCCGATTCGCCGTCGACGAGTGACAGATTGATTTGACGCTTTCATTCACAGAATCACAGATAGTTGCGTTCATGGACACGAATGTCAGAAACAGAACGTAAAAATGATGAACTTGAGAATCTTTTGTCTCTTACTGTTCAACGTGAGTATACGTTAGCAAGGAAGAGACATAAGTTTCACAGCAGTGCAGAGGTGATTATTATTGCTGAAGGCAAAAAATATGGAAGCTTTTGTGGGAATAAAATTAATTATTTGTTGTCATTTAATAAATAAAATATTACTGTGAAAATTTTTATTAGGAAGTCCATCAAGATAGTAAGTATTGTTTGGTAGCGCCATCTGTTGTACAACTATTGAGATATTATTTATAATTTGTTCTTCCATTATTCCATAGATGGCAGAATATTAGGTATTTAACATTAAGCTTTTGATTTTCATCAGTATGTGCAGGTCAACAGTTACAATCTGTGTGACTGTATATCTGACTGTATCCTTTCTTCACTTGTATTATCTACTATCAACAGATAAAATTTACTCTTTTTAATCATCGAATTACTGCTCCCGTCTGGGTGAGGCGGGAGGGAGTGTCAGACTCTTACTGACTAAAAACCACCCCGTTCCTTCTCTTGCACGTCGAGCCGGAGCCCCCCCCCCCCGGTAACCCGTTAGAGAACGTCTATACAAATGTATCTACAGAAACAGCCTTGTAGGAGTTGTAGGACACAGATTTTACCTCCTAAATACCCAGTCTACTTAGGTGGAGGTGGAGTATTAGGGCAGCAGGGTTTCATGATTGGCACTGGCTTTGGCAGGGTTTGACCGCAATTGATGGTGAACAATTGAACAACCTAAGATGAAAATAATCATGACACTTATACAGGGTGACTTGTAACTCGACTTATTCCTCTCGGCAGGTGATGTGAAGCCGAACATGTAGGTATCTCCTCCATTTTTTGAAGTCCTTCAAAATCGCTGTACATCGTAGGTATTACAATTAATATCTAAATCAGCGACACAAGATAATTATATTTTATTTCTGGTGCTTGCCATGTTGACCGTTTTAACTAATACGTTGTATTACAGTACAATGATTTTGAAAATTTAAATGTGTTCATCAACTTTTGATACTGTCCGTACCTACCTACTACTTAGTACCTAAACTATTTTTTTAAGGGGGATAAATCATCGAATGACTCCTCTCGCCTGGGTGAAGCGGGCGGGAGTGTCAGCAGACTTACTGACTAAAAACCACCCCGTTCCTTCTCCTGCACGTCGAGCCGGAGCCCCGGTTATCCGTTAGGTTCTCCGCCACTCTGAATATACGTAGACTATAAGATCACCAAAATGACTTCATAATATTTAAACACCCACCATGTAAATAATATAATATTATCTTATTTAATCAATAGAGTGACGGCTTGAATGCACCTGTTACAATTAACGTAGGCGCATTGACAAATAAAAGCAAGTAAAAGATCCAGAACGTTTTGAAGGCCATACAAATATTTTTTACTACGTGTCTCGTGTTAGTACAGTCTATTTGACGAGGTAGAACAGGCCCGCCGTAAGCGGGTGTGCAAAGCGTGGACAGCACACGGGCGCACGATTATGGGGACGGCAAATCGAGCGCCTCATTACCTACTATTCAAAATTAACTACAACTAAACTATTAAGTAAAATGAAAGTAAGAAGGAAACAACAAAAAAAATTTTTTTTAGGTTGTAAATATTTATGTTATACAGGGTGACTTGTAACTCGACGTATTCCTCTCAGGGAGTGATAATACAACAAATTTCCTACAAAATTAACCCTGAGGTCTCTGGTTTGGTCCGAAAGTGGCTAGTTTCTGAGATAATCAACTTTTTCGGTTGAAAAAAATCTTTGCAATACATGCATAGTTACTCGAAAACTATCGAGCGTCCTTGAACACATTCGAGAAATATTCGAAAACTATAAAGTGTCCTCTACCACTTTCGAGAGTAACTCGAAAACAATCGAGCGTCCTCGAAAGCTATCGAGCGTCCTCGATCACTTTCGAGCGTCCTCGAAAACAATCGAGAGTTACTCGAAAACTATCGAGTGTCCTCGAAAACTATCGAGTGTCCTCGAAAACAATAGAGCGTCCTCGAAAACAATCGAGCGTCCTCGAAAACTATGGTACAACCATGAAAACACCGGAACACTGAAGTACGGCGCTTCCCAGGAACATGGATAACTGTCTTGGTTCCCGCAACGAAGAGAATCAGAAGATATTATAAGAGGAGAAGAAATAAAAAAATGTCTTTCTTAGTTATTGTAACGTAGTGATTTTATTTATGATATACACTTTGTGTGATCCACGAATTGTTGTTTCGGGTCTGGGTGTCATTGTGTTTGTGAACTTGTATGTGTGTAAACGCACCTATAACACAGGAGAAAATACTAGTGTGGGGCAACGTTTTTTAAAAAACAAACAAAAAACAGAGATTAGCGCGTTCAAACAAACAAACAAACCCTTCAGCTTTATATATTAGTACATAAGATAGAGTAGGTAGATAAACCGAATTTCTCTTTAATTAGCTAAACGTAAGACAAACTCAATTTGTAGGCAAATAACATAGAAGAAGTTTCCTTTATTATTACTATTAACCAACATATAGGCAGGTAACTATGTAATTATTCTATCACTTCGCCCACCCTTTCCGTTCATACGAATACCCTATAAATTCTTAGACGGCCAAGAATTCCTACCTAAAATATATTCGATAGCTTACCGACCCGAAATTGCCTTGAAATCTGTGCAGAACATTCTGGAACGCAAATTCATTAATTACGTTGTACTACTAAAGTACGCAGTTCCGGACGCAATGTTTCAAAATCAACTGGAGGGGTCTGCCAATTAGCATTATATTAACACTACAAAGGCTTTGCTAATGTCCTAGGTATTAGGTATAAATAGTTAGGATTTTGTATTGTTTTGTGCTTTAACTCGTCGAGTACCGGTTTTATAGACACAATTAAAGAACAATAGGTCGCGGTCACCGGTGACCGCTTGGTGTTTGACAGTTTAAATAGTTATTTATAGGGTGTATTTTTTGTTAATAAAGACAAAATTGAGGCAAGATGCTTTTAATTTTTTTCTACTATAAGATTGTCTCTGATGATCTTGTATCGTGGATGCGTTTAAAAGTTAATAATAATTTCACATGCATAATTATCACACTCAGATCCAGTACAACAAATGTGGATTAGAAGAATAAAATTGTTTAATACGGTAATAAAGACCATGTCACGTTGATTAGCAACACTCTACGCCAATCATACTGTTCTAAAGTGTGTGGGAGTTTCCCACTTGGTGCTAGTAGATATTATTACTGTTACTTATTCTCAAACTATAACCTGGTATCATTAGTTAGTAATTACCCAGTGCTCTCACTCTAAAATCTATAATAATATATACATATTTTTTATGGCATAAGCCGGTAAACGAGCAGACGCATCACCTGATGGTAAGCCATCGGCGTCGCCCATGAACACCTGGAACACCAGAGGCGTTACAAGTGCGTTACCGGCCTTTTGGGGAACTAGGAGTTTGAGGATCGTTGGGGATTCAGGAATTGTGGTTACAAAATAGGTACATTTTAATGGACAAAGTACAATAGCAAGAACTTTATTTTAACAAACGACAAAATATTACAATGTTTCCATACAGAATATAGAAGATTTTATTGTTATGACAAAACATATGGACAAAATCATAAACTCTGAGATAGTAAAATAGTAACAACTATGTAGGTATCTCGGCAGTCATTTGTTATTGAATTAAACTCAATTAAGTTAAGGTACAAGAGTTCGATTTTCATTTTTTTCTTTTCATTTCGTTTTTCTTTTTTAAAAAAACGTTGCCCCACTCTAGGATTTACTCCTGTGTCGTGGGTGCGTTTACAAACATACAAGTTCACATACACATGATACCCAGACCCGGAACAACAATCTGTAGATCACACAAAGAATTGTTCCGTGCGGGAATCGAACCCGCGACACGTTGCGCGGCAGCCAGTTGCCCAACCACCGCGCCAAACGTGCAGTCCACTACGCAGCTGCACTTTCATTTTCAAATGTTATTACGTCCATTTTAGTTTTATAATATTACTTATATCGTATTATGGCGTATGCTATGCTAGGCTTATGGAGTAGCATGCCTTGCCGGGGTCCCGTATAAAATATTGTTTGGCGGTATATAAGTTTCTCGCAAAATATTTTTTTTTTACTCGCACGTAATTTTTTTTCTCGCAAAACAATTTTTTTTGCTTAAAAATTCTCACTCGCTCTAATAACTCTCTGCTCAAATTAATGAACTATAATTAGTTTCTGTAAAGTTTCTGTCAACCTTTCAACGCATGCTTTATGCGGGAATAAAATTTTACTTAGAAGTATTCATTAATGTTTACGCATGTTGGGGGCCCCGTATAATTGATACGAAAGATACCGCGCTATATCATACCATCCAGCCTTTTAATCTTAAAAAGGATAGAAGGAGGTACGAGGTACGTAAGGCAACTATTTTTCTTCTGTTGCGTTACCAGAACACAAACAATTGACATGTTATTGACGATAATTCAGTTTGCCTCACGATAGTTATTTTTAAAATATGAAAGGGTATCGTCAACGGTACAGAGTGCCAAGCACGAATAACTATCGCATTCGTAACGTTATAGTATCGAGCGCGTTCGGCGCTCTGATTGGCCGGCTCGAGTGAACCAACCAATCAGAACGCTTAACTCGCTCGATACTGTTACGATACGAATGCGATAGTTATTCGTGCTTGGCCCACAGAAGTGTGACTATTCTGTACCATTGACGATACTAACATTACCGTCTATTACTACCGTC